AAACTGCCAGCACTGCATCCTTCCATGACAGCCAGCCATCCTCACCCAGCATCTTCTGTCCAGGACAGAGTTCCTGCAGACCACACTCATGCTAAGCAGCAGCTGTGGGTCAATTCCTGCTCAGTTTGCTGCTGCAGCTATGGAAGTGATCACCCTGCTGCCCTGAGCTACGGAGCATCTTTGTGGCACATCTTGCCCTGCGTTTGGCTATTAGTGCTCACGGTGCACGTCCCTGCTGGGGCTGCACCCTGGGGATGTGCCTGGAGGGACCCCCCTGTTCTCACAGCTCCCAGACTGGAGCACCTCACCAGTAATCCACTGGTTTTGTTTTTGTGAACTTTTGGCAGCAGCTCCAGCTTCCCCAGAGGGGTGTAAAGGATCCAGTCCTAAGGAACCCATCCTTCACCTGACCCCCCCATGACACGTGTTTTTGTGGCCAGCAAGTGATAAGTGAAAGAAGGAAAAGCATTAACTTTAAGATCCAAATGCTCTCATTCAAACCAGACTTATGTGGTATCCTGTCTGTTCTTCCAAGCAAAAAAAAAAATAAAAAAAAAAAAAAAAATTCAAAATCCTGGAGGCTTTACTCCCAGGACTTATGGTTTCCTCTTAAACTCTCTGTCCTGCCCAAGGTGAGCTGTGTGCAGGTACGAAAGGAGCTGTAGGTGTGTGTTGTAGCTTTGACCTGGCTGGCAGCCAAATACCACAACAGCCGCTTGCTCACCCTCCCCTCTCCTAGGAATGGGGGGAAGAATTGAAGGGGTAAAGGGAAAAGAGACTTGTGGGTTGAGATAAGAACCATCTAATACTTAAATTACAATCATATTGAAAATAGCAATGATAATAATAGTAATATCTACAAATGTACAAAGGAGTGATACCCAGGGGTGCTGGTGACCAACTGATGACGAAGGCTCAGCCTGTTCCTGGGTGAGATAAGAGCCCAAGTGTCCAAGAGACTGAGATGACCCTGAGAGAGGGGGGACCCAGAGGGAGACAACCAGGAGTAAGAGAGAGAACTTCTGGACAGATCCTCCTCTACACCCTGGCCATGCCAGGCATGGGATGGAACAGACCATGGGCCACTTTGGGTCTCGATCCCAAACCCAAGGTCGAATCCTGGGCTGGGAACTGGGGCTGTGCTCCCTCCCAGCTCCTCCTGCCCCTGCAGACACGGGCACAGCAGAGAAGCTGGAAAGTCCTTGAGTGTCCTGGCAGCAGCTCTGCCCATCAGTGTGTGATCAGCTTCTCCCCAGCACAAACCCAACACAGCCTCACACCAGCTGTGGGAAGAAAATTAACTCTGTCCCAGCCCAAACCAGGACAGCATGACTCTGAAACCAGGGAATCTGGTGCTGCGCTCCTACCCAGCCCTCCCCAGCTTCTACATCTTCACAACCCAGCTCTCGGTTTCCCGGTGACTTTTCCAAGGCTGCAGCCGAAGAGGTCCCTACCCCTCTGAGCTGGCACGACTGGGCATTGCTATCGCATGCTGCTTCTGGAACACCCCAGCAAACCGCCCCGTTCCTCCTGAGATGACTTCATCTATTCACCCTGTGGGATCAAGGTTTCTGAGTCACAGATTTGCTTTGCCTTCGACGAGGTCCTGCCATCTCTCAGGGTGCTGCAGGGGCCTTGGGAAGTCAGTTCTGAGTTTTTGCTTTAAGCGTAAGCTGGGCCTTGGCTTGAAGGTTGTTGCCTCTCTCTCCAACGTGAAAAAGGGCTTGTGTGCCTTGGGCTGGCGCCAACTATTTCAGATGATGTAATGAGTACGTCTGCCCCTCCCTGCAGACTGCTTTAGCAAACAGCACTGCGATTCTGGGATGTCTTGAGGTCAGGGCACGGTACTGAATGTTGCAGAGCACCTTGGCCTGACATGACCCAGTGTCCTCAGCTCCATCAGTGCTACAGCCTTTGGCATCCTCAGGTGCCAAAGCCACTCCATGCTGGTTCTTCTGCTCCCATGACCCATGCCAAGGCCTTTCTGGTTGCACCCTGTGCTAAAGGCCCAGCACCTCCACCTCTTGATGCTGCTCCTGATGCATCCAAGGCTCAGTTTTTGGCTTTGGTGATCCATTGGCGAAACGCACTGCAGTCTCTGGGTTAGAGGGGGTGGATGAAATTCCATTCTTTGGATCCAGCTCAACATAAATTGTTTTTTCTCTCCTTGCACCTGGTGGGCAGAAGATCTGCTTCTCACAGTGCTGATTCATCTTAGTTCTTCTCACTTGAGGAGGATCCAGTGACCTGCTTGGACAGGCAAGGACAGGACAAGCTCACCTGGGAGTTATAAATACACCCCTGTGTAATGCTCACATGACAATAAGCTAATGGGTAACGCTGATTGCCAATAAGATCAGGATTTGTCCCTACAGGTAGGGACCCCTCTTCCCAGGGCTCGTTTTGAGGTTGGGTTGTTACTCGCCTCCCTACAGCTGGGTGTTGGGCAATGCTGGGGAGATGGATCAGGCCCATGAGAGGTGCGAGATGTGGAACTTCACTGAGAAACATCTACGTGCTTAACACAGGGGATGCCAGAGCCGGAGTCAACGCCTGGACAGGCTGCGTTCCTGTCCATTGGGAGCTACTCGTTAACTGCACCGAGTTAAACCCAGCTCTGTGATGGGACAGCTGGAAGAGACTAAACTGATCTGTGTCTCTCCTTGGAATGATCCTGGTTGAAATAAGGGGGGTAGCTGAATGCAATGCTGAATGTTTGAGTTTTGGCCCTTTAACATCCACCCTTCACTCAATTCCAGGTGTATTTGGTGTCCATTTGGGCACCTGCCTGTGGCAGTTCCTCCTCCGAACTGAGCTGAGCTGGCCTGAAACCCTGGGAGTGGGAGGGTCGGTTGCTAATCCCCAGCCTGACTCATTCGCATGCTGGGACCAGGGCGGGTCGAGGGTGCTGACACCACAGGGCAGAGCAGCAACAATCCACATGAATTATTTTCTTATCGCGTGCTTCTTTTCAACCACTTGATGTGATTTAGGTGCTGCCTGATGGTATTGCACCAGCCGTGGGAGGCAGATGCCCGGCAGGGACTGCAGCGAGGACACTGCCACCGAGCACAGCTTCAGACAGCAGTCAAGGGAACAAACCATTTCACCCCACTCTCAACTGGCTCAGTTTCCATGAGAAATGGTGTCTAAAGATGCTGCTTGAGCCAGTTCTTTACATCTTAGGAGCTGCCTTGCCTTGAGTTGCCAACAAGTAGGTGATGCTGGAAGCAGAAATTTGTCTCCCAGCCTCTGGACTTTGCTCTGGGGAAGACCAAGGTTTTGAGCAACCTGGGCTAGTGGGAGGCGTCCCTGCCCATGGTGGGGGTGGGACTCTATGAGCTTTAAGGTCCCTTCCAGCCCAAACCATTCTGGGATTCTGTGATTCTAAGATGACCGAAGACCACTGACGTTCTGCCTTTAAGCCCCGGCTGTGTCTCAGGTTTAAGCGCTCACCTGGGCAGTGTAAGAGACTGTCCTGAGGAAGGTGTGTTTCAGCAGCAAGTGTCTTGGGGTGAGCCACTGGCTCCAGCGCTTGGTTTAAACGGGGATTAGGGATGATTGCAAAAGCCACAAGAAATGTTGCTGCATAAAAATTAATGACCCATCACTTTGGAGGTGCTGGGTGGTACATACCCAGAAATGGGACTCCATGTACTGTAGCCATGGTGTTGGTAGGTGCATTTTGGTTTTGCCCAAGACTTAGTTTCCAGTGGAATAAGCCTCGTGGAATAAGTGGAGCCTGTGGAATAAGACTGAGAGTTTTCACATCCTGACAGCAGGTGACATGATGGGGATTTACAACGCTGAAAGCACAGAAGTTTGATGCCTTGTGACTTGAAGCCAACATCATTTTGTTCTTCCAAGAAGCAGAAAGCAAGCAATGTCAGGGAGCCCTGAGGGCAAGAGGAGATGTCAAAGAATAGTTTTTAAATTTGAATTTTTGCCCTTTGATGCCTTGTGGTGGCTAAAGCCTGCCTGAGAAGACTTTGGAGAAACCAGGTTATATTTGATTTTATGTTAGCCACTCACAGCTGGCTGCCCAAGGCCTTTTTCCAGAAGTCCATCTTGCGTTGCCACTGGCTCGGTGCAGGTGTGAGGTGCCCCACGCTGACAAAGGCACATAAAGTTTGCAGCTAAATCTTCTAAGTTCATGACAAAGATCCCAGAGAGCTGGAGACCTCTCCAGCAGGTCTGTGGGCACTCAGCTCTCTCAGGCTCTGTTTAGTCATCATAAGGCACAAAGAATTTGAATGCAAGTGTTTGGATTTTTTTCCTTTTCTGGGCATATCTGAGATTGAGCTTGCCAGAGCAAGTGCTGAGGTTGTTCTTTTTTCTGGGGCAGAGTGCTGAGATTGCACAGTGTCATAACAAAACCCGGGGTGTCCCACCTCCGTCCCTCCAGCTCAAGGGCAGAGATGCTGGCAGATGGGACGGGCAGGCAGGGGAGGGAGGTGATGCCTGTCCTCAGACCCTGATTCTGTTCTCTATAGCAGAGAGGTGGATTTGAACGAAGGATGCACTCTCAAAAGCACTGAAATGTCTCGAGGCAAAGTCTTGTGATAGACAGCTGTAATAAAGGAGAAGAGAACTGGGGAGGAGGAAGTTTGGAGCATGCTCTTACACTCCTGGTAGCAGCGAGTGCCCGTGGGATACGTGGTGCTGGGGGCAGAGACATTCCAGAGCGGTTTGTGAGTCAGCCCAGCTCCTCCCATCACAACTTCACTCATCAAAGCAAGTATTTATAGCACAGGTAGAAGTAGGGAGAGAAATCAAAGGAGAGCTTCCCAGAAAGACGCATAAATCACTCTGAGAGTTCAGCTCTGGGGTTCTGCATTTTTTGCTTTAATGAGAATGAATAAAAACGCTGTTGTTATTACTACTATTTCTTAATATTATTTCAGAGCTCTGCTTTTTGAATTAAAACCATCTTTCAGCAAAGAGAGATTGCCACAGAGGTCTCCCAGCTTTCAGAGCTACCCCGGCAGGCTGCTAAGGACATGCTGTCTTACACCAGAGAAAATATCTTCTCCAGCACAGATCTGCTGAAAACCAGTTCAGAAAGTCTGGCCAGGCCAATGTTTGCTGCCCAAACTATCAGGAGACCTCCAGGCCTTCCACCAAAGCGAAGCAGAAAAGCCAGAAAGGTGCTGTACCCGGCCCAGGTGAGAAAATATTTACCACGGCAGGAGAAAGACCCAGTCAAACGGTGGCTGCTTGTCTTTGTCGGCATCATCCTCATGCAGGTTTTAACTGAGGATCCAGAGCGAGAGAGACTGGCTGGGGGAAAAAGCCCTAGAGAGCGGGCGCTCTGTGCACCAGCATTGCTGATGGCAGCACAGCCCGGGGCGGCAGGGAACCGCTCCAGAGACAACGGAGCTATTCCAGAGGCCCCGGCAATCATTTTGTCATCAGCTCATGGGCACCAACCTCCAGGGCAAACCACCACGGATGTGCCCCAACAAGCAAGGAAACAACCGCCCGCCTTCTGCAGGCTATGCTGGACCAGTTTCTCCTGTGCAGAGCACTGAACTGGGTGAGAGAAGCTGTCCTCCTGCTCCTGGACATCGGCTGCTGGAGCCGCAGCAGAGGTGGCCCCTGAACTCCTGCACCCCTCTGAGGGGACGCGAGGACTCTGGATGGTGACATGGGGCAGCGGTGGCCAGAAGAAGTGTTGAAGTGAGCCCAGGGCTGCAGCAAGAGCTGTGTCGGTTCATTTGTGACTGTCATTAGAGATGGATTTCCCAGAGCTGTAACAGAAAGCTGCAGGAATTAGATGTACACGCCTGGGTCGGGTTTGTACCGTGCTGTGTGTAACTCAATTCAGTGCCTTCATTTGCATATTGTAATTTACTGTTAGTTCTTGCAAATTAGAAGAAAGTAGCTGAGCTGTCGACCTGAAGAGGGTGCAAAGATCCCGTGTGCTTTTCTCCATCTGTAACACTGTAAGAATAAAACCGCTAAGATCAGACTTTCACAATGTGTTTCATCTGAGATTTTAGAATTCAGGTTTGCCGCTCTGCCGCCTGCTGGAAAGTGCTGACCACCCTGGGGAAAGAAAACTGCCCAACCAGCAAGAATGGTGGGGTCAGAGCCCCAGCAGGACCCGGACACCGAGACGCTGGTGCCCAGCATGGGGAGAGTTCAGAGACCTGGGTCAGGCACGGGATGGGACACACACCGGGATAAGATAGCTTCTTGGGAAAAAGCTGGGAGGCTCCTAAGGGAAACCATGGGATGTGCTGGGAAAGAGGGTTGGTCAAGGAGGAGGCTGAACTGTAGAGCACTAGTGGTCCCTTCAGACCAACACTTCTACCCTTTCTCTGTGTATCGGGGTTACTGGGAGCTTAGCAGCGCTTTGTGGTTCTGTGCATGAAATATGGGACTAGCCGCTGATCCAGGGCAGTATGTAGGATTTTTTTCAAACAGAGCAAATGTGATGGGGTCTGGGGGCTACATACCAAGGTGCAGCTCAGAGCAGGGCTGCTGCCTCCCAGACATGAGCAGGCTGCATGAGGTAGGAATAAAGAAATCTGGCTCAGGACCTGCTCTGCTCCTTGGCCAGCCATGGGGCTTATTGCAAAGAGCCATTCCTGGCTCCTTCCTGGAAACACAGAGTCCAGGATTTTAAGTGGATGATACTTTGAGCTTATTGAATTTTCTGGGCTGTTTTCTCACCCAGTCCCTGAGGCTGGGATTCAGCTGCCCTAATTTAGGCATCCTGAGGAAAGGCTGAGTAAGTCTGTCTGGGATTTCCCTAGTCCAGTGCTCTGGGAAGAACCTGCCTGGGGAAAGGAACCTGGAAAACCTTCTCCAAGCCATGGCCCATGCTCCGGACTCACATAGTTCATGCATCAGGGTTACCCCCCACAAGGGTCTGTCCCAAAAAGTCATGCTATGGCTTTGCAGCTCCAGCCCAACCTTCCACTCTGCAGAATAACTTCATACTTCTGTCAAGTAGCTCAGGGCTGTGTCCAGCCTAACTTTTAAAATCTCCAAGCGTGGGGATGTCACCATCTCCTTTGCCAACCTCTTAGACTTGTCTGGGACTTAATTCAGATTTTTCCATGCCACACAGTGACAGTCAGCTAGCGTGCCTCACCTAGAGCTGTTCCCTGAGCATCGTGTCTCAGAAAGTGGTCTTTACACGGCAACACCAGTTAGTTCCTCAGGCCCTGATGAGAGCAGAACTCAATGTTTCATAATGACCCAGAGCAGCCACACGTGACCCAGGGATGGAAGGAAGCGGGATCACACATGCAGTGATTGCAGGAGAGGTGTGGAAAAGCCAAGTGCAGCACTGCAGGTCAAAACAGAGGGGAGCAGGGAGCTGCAGCCCACGGCAATTACAGAGACCTGCTTATCTCGAAAAAAATGTAGCTGAAAAAGCTGAATCACCAACAGAATTTAGCTACTTAATTTCTACTGGAAAAAAATAATGAGCAATCTGCCTGTGTGCAGCCGGGGAAGTATTTGGAGTGAAGAGCAGCTGGGATGTGACTGCTGTGAGCAGTGGTCCAGGATGAGCCCTTAGAGGGGCTCTGCATCCCGTGTGCAGGCAGACACGCACTCCCAAGGAACACCTGAACGTGGAGTTTTGTATAGTTCTGGAATGGTAAAGATTGTTGAAGATAAAAAGATCTTTCAACAATGGTGATGTTGGTGTTGAAACCTTCGTAAACTCGGTGAGCGAGGACTTTCCCAAGGCCCAGCAAAGCCCAAAGGCATCACGAGAGGGCAGCAGAGACAGGGCTTGAGCCGGACCCAGCAGGCAGTGCCCTGCACTGGTTCACACACCCAGATGTGAAACCACAATGGCAGATACACAAAAAATTGCCGAGGGTGGTACCTTGCAGAGGGCTGATGTGGTGGGAAAGCAGAATCTGCCAAAATAAACTGCTATGCTGGGGCAGAACCCAGCAAAATGGATACAGGCACCTTAAATATAAACCCCCATCACTGGGTCTTACAGGAGAGATATTTTACTGTTCTGTACAGCACAGGACGGTGAGCTGAGGTATACAGTAATGCTGAGATGTACAGTAATGCAGAGGTAACAGGGGCCAACATCAGCCAGCTTCCAAGCCATCGGCAGCCTAAGCCAATGCAACCACTGAAAACACATTTCAGACCCAGTGGCTTGAATGAGCTAAACACAAAAAGGACCATTATAACCAGCCTGTTGTGAAAAGTCCAGCCTTCCCTGTTGTGGTCAGCCCCTATTCTTATCTGGGACATTCCTGTGTGCTGCGATGCTTGCTTTTGGCACAATGGAAGATGGACAGGACCAGCTCCAGCAGAGAGCAGGAGAGAAGGACAATGCGCTGAGTGCTCGTCCCTGCTCCACGCCTCGGTGCTGTGAGTGCTGGTGTGCAGCCGACCCTCGCCTAGCCCTGTTGTAGCTCCAGCTGAGCTCACAGGGGACGAGGCAGCCAGTCAGGATGGCTTTGGGAGCCCTGTGGTGCCCTGGAGGGATAATATGTCAGCGCTATGCCGCAGCCGGCAGAGCAGCATTTCCAGACAGGCTCTGCAGCCGGGACATGCCAGGACCCAGTCCTGCAGTTGCAGCCCTGTGCAGGGCGTGTGGCTCCTGCTAGTAGCTGCCTTTTCTGTGGGGGGAGCCCCTTGCACCCCAGCTCTATTGCCCCAGAGGCCCCCACCCTCACCTGAAGTCCTTAGGCCAGAGCTTGTGTCTCACTCTTGCCCCTCCCAGAGCTCCCAGTTCCCTGCTCAGCCCACACCAGAGCATTCCAGGTCTATGCTACAGAATCACAGAATCACAGAATGTTAGAGATTGGAAGGGACCTCGAAAGATCATCCAGTCCAATCCCCCTGCCAGAGCAGGAACACCCAGATCAGACCACACAGGAACGCATCCAGGCGGGCTTTGAATGTCTCCAGAGAAGACATTCTCTGGAGTCCCTTCTTTCCTCATACCACCCTCTCTCCAACCTCTTTCCTTATCCAGGTTCCCTCGGGCTGTCTCTGCCCACCCTTCCTGCTGCCCCAGAGTCCCCCAGTCTGCCACTGGGCACAGGGGTCCTGTGGGCACAGAGTCCTTCGCTCCCGCACACATCCCTGCAGGTGAAATCTCCCAGCCTTTAAAGCAAACAGCATCCAGATGCTTACTGGGAGCAGCCCCTGGGACATTCCCACCATGTTCCCTGTCTGGAACAATCTCAGGGGACCATGACGGATGCACTACCCGGAACCCAGGCCAGGGATTGTTCTGGCAGTTTGTCATTACACATGGTCACATTCCTGTACCCAGCAGTGTCCCCAGGAGATGCTTAATTTAGTGCTATAGATGTGTCCTACGGGACCAGGCACACTGTGGGATGCAGCGCTCCAGAGATGCACCCAAAGGGTCTTGCCATGGTCCCCTGACCCTACAATGTGAACACTTGTCCCCCTGTCCCCATGGCCATCCAGAGTGGACACAGAACTGCTCAGAATTTTTTCCAAGGCAGCCGTAAGGAGACTGTTCATAACCTCATTAGCAGAGATCCGCTCTCCCGCACTCTAACAGAAAGCTCCGCCACAGCTTTTCAAGTCTCTGGCAAACATCGGAGCCGGCGCCGCTTACCCTCACTGCGACGCGAGGGCCCCGACGCGGCTGCCTGTGGAGGCGTGCCATGGGAATTATAAACACAGCTGCTTTCATTAGGCACATTATTCACCCTCTGGCTCACTCAGAGTTGGACAGATGATGTCTCAGGAGTGTAATGGAGAAAATATTACAATGTTTTTTTCGTTGCACTGCCTCACCTAGATATTACATGCTGCACTATGCCATTGCACAACTGGAGGTCTGAAAAAGGGGGGAGCCTGAAAAGACTACTGTGGATAAGACTTAGAAAGAAGACCAAGGTGAGGGGAAATGGTAAGAAATCAATAAATCAATGAGCAATCTAGTGAAGACATGCCAGGGTCTGTAGCTCTCCTTGCCTCACGGCGTTAGAGAGCCACTCAATCGAGCTCAAAGCCATGAAAGCAAAAACTGGTTTATGTTCACACAGCAAAAAATGAGTGAAAATTCTTTATGGGAGACAGAAAGTTTAGTTATAAGGACCAGGGGATTATCCTAACACCAGCGTTTCTGCTTCCTGGAGCACAGCAATGTTCTTCACTATTATTTGCTCTTAAACCATATCTTCAAAATGTCCATCTGCTAAACACGCAGAGACTGCGTAGCTCCATCTAGCTCATTGCTAGTGTAAAGTTTTGGCTGTATTTTCACCTGCTG